CCCCCCCCCTTTGTTCCTCCCCTACTTGCACACATGCTCTCTAAAATTAAAACAAGAAATATTAATATTATATAAACTCTGTAGTTTGGAACAATCATCGATAGACTTTGGGCAGATATTAGACCCCAGTGTGTCCACCCTTCATTTCCCTCCTACTCCCAGATGTGACCAGTATTTGGAATTTTATAGTTATTCTTCAGAGCTTTACTACGACTCATCACTAAGTAGTGCTTTGTCTAACTCTGCCTTTTTTGAGCTTTTCATGAAAAGATAGGAAGAGAATTACCTGGAACATGGTCGTCACTGATTTCCTTGCCTCAGTCTGTTTCACACACGCAGGCATCTGTGGCTGGGGGTGACCCAATTTACTCATCCTTTCCAGTGCTTATAGTTTCGGGGCTCTTTCATGTGTATGTTTTCCTGGCGTGGAAAATGCTGCTCCTATCATTCTTGTCTCGATTTCCAAGTGGCAGTTCATAACAAATCCTCTACACATTGGAGAAAAACTACCGAATTGGAGACCATGGATAATTTCAAATTTATAGGAAATGCCAATGGGATGTGTGAATCAACACTCCCACTATTCTTGCATAAGATGATTGACCACGCTGCAACTGTTGAATATTTGCCTATATAGTCCATGTGAAACAGGATTGCCTCGTGTGTCTTGCTTTTTACTAATTACCAATGATATTGAGCACTTTGTATGTCTTTCGTCTGTGTAATCTTTATCATTTTCTTACTTTTAATTCATTTGTATGTTTATTGGTTTCTTCTGATTTCTTCATATACTCTGGATATGCATCTTTTTCATTTGTACGTATTGCAAATATTGTCTCCCAGACTGTGGTTTATCTTTGTACCCCCTTTATTCTACATTTCAGTGGTCTGTAATTAGTTTTAATAGTTTAATTTCTCATTCTCTTCCTTTGTAGCTTACTATTTTTTCTTATGTAAGAAAACTCCCCATATTCCAAAGTCACAAAAACTTGCCGTAACTTCCAAGAGTGTTCTAGCTTCCTCCTTCACGTAAATCTTCAGTAAGTTGATTATCATACATGGAGTTGACAGATTTATTACTCCCTTTTAAATAATCCTTTGTTACTGTCCATGTGTTAACGTATCCATAATTTTTACCACTGGGCAGCAATGCCTGCTTCGTCTTCTTGGTAAAATATGATAATATTTGTATTTTATAACATGGAAACATTTTTATCCCTGAAACGAGCTCCAGTTTTTGGTAGGTATCTAATAAATTGAGAATTTATACTGTCCAATATCCCATTTGTAACTCATTCAAAACTGAGTTTTCTAGTTTATTATGATCACAGTCATGGTTTCATGGACACGTATATGTATCAAAGCATTTATGCATACGGAGAGCCTGGGTGGCTCGGTCATTAAGCATCCAACTCTTGATTTCAGCTCAGGTCCATGATCTCCTGATTCAGGAGATCGAGCCCCACATCAGGCTCTGTGCTGAAAGCAGAGTCTGCTTGGGATTCTCTCTCTGCCCTGCCCCCACACTTCTCTCAAAATAAAGAAACCTTAAAACTTACTTATATATCTGAATTTTATTTCATTTCACTGACTACTGAATAAACCTAAAAAGTTGGCTTGATCCCAACCTTTCCATTTCATGCAGTATGGAGCTTGCACAAACTTACTAAAAATAATCGTAAAGGTTTCCAGTTTTTTCACATGTAGGAATTTAATACACGATAATTATGTGCCTCTTAGAAGTTAAGTAGAACCCGCATGTAAATCTGCACCTGACAGGCCTTTATATTTCATTACGCACAGACTGGGGAGCCCATACATAGGCACAAAAAAACCACTACCGCATGCAGTGAGACAGGCACTGACACTCCTGCCTGGACACAGGGACCATCATCACCAGGATGATGGAACACATGGAACCTATTGGACAGACACATGTGGCCCTGCAGACAAATATACAGAATCACCCAGCCTTCATCACTGGAAATACCGATGGCACCCCCAAGCACACATCCTAGGCACACCCTCAGAGATAACGGTCCCAGAGGAAGACTCTCCCAGAGGCACACACAGCTCAGGCCCTCAGCACACCCCTCCCCTCGCTTTGTTTCTTCTTTTGAGGAATCACCACCATCCGCACGGTGCGTATGTTACTTACATCCTTTATATTTTCTGTATCCTAGAACGTCCGCTTCGAGGGGATTGTGATATCTTGCCTGTTCTGTTAACGACGGAACCTATACTACGATCGGTTACACGGGAAAAATCAAGAAACACCCATGGACTGTCCGGGCCCAACAGACGCAAGAACGCAGGTGGTGGCGCACCACCGTCGTCGTCGAGCTACGCCCACTGCAACTTCCGGAAGTGAACTGGTTTTCGCGCCCAGCCCGCGCGGCAGAGGCCCCCACGCCCAAACGCAGGTGCTTCAACCAGCCTGGTGCAGAGGGGCGTTCCTGAGCCATCACTGGCCACCTAAGAACTGACGAACGGGGACTCTGAGCCCCTGAGGCTCAGTGGTCAGACACGACTGCGACAACGATGCCCCAGGCCCTCCCAGAGAGCTGCGATCCTTCCAGGAACAGGCCCTTCTTCACTCGCGTCTGTTCCCTCGTTCAGCCACAGGCCCTCCACGGCCGTCACCTCTGACGCCATCACCTCGGCTGCAGCGTCCTCCTGCACCCGTCGCGAGGACTCCGTCGGACTTCAGGGGCCTTCCCCGACAGTCAGCGCTGTCCGAGCACAGGAGGATGCGAGCGGACGGAGGCCTCAGGAGCTAGGGCCACCGGGCCAACCGCCACTAACTCACGGCCCACCAGAAGCCGGGGTTGGGGGAGAGGGGGCGGGACTCCCACCGCTTCCGTTACCACACCCGCCTTGAACCCCTTCGCGGGCCGCCACCTCCAGTGGGTGCGCCTGCGCAGTTCAGCGAAGACGCACTCCCAGGAGTCTCCAGGGCACAGGGGCTTTCCACGCAGGCCAGCGCTGCATGCTGGGAAAAACCTGAGTGGCTGGACTCCCAGCATCCGAGGGGCCTCCTTTCGGAACTACGTTTCCCACAGGCCAATGGGCTGCGTCCTGTGCCGTGGAGGCTCCACGCGAGAAGAAGTGCGCGTGCGCCGTGGCTTCTGGGAGGCCCAGAAGACCTGCCCTGGAGCCTGAGGATAAGGGACGCGCGGTGGTGCGTAGTGGGCGTCTTGCGGGCGCAGAGTGTCAGACCTGAGCAAGAGGAGAAGTCCCTTCAGTGACTGTGGGGGAGTGGGTGTGACAAGCAGTTTTGAGACCCTGAGAGGTGTGATTGTACTTGCGGGTAGTGAGATGTGTATGGGGCTGCGGGAGTTGCAATGGCTGGGAGTCGTTTTGTACCCACAGCGTGTGTTCTGCCACCGCTTCTTCTTCCCTCTCGGCTCGCCGCCACGTGGGGCTGCTGCAGTGGTCCCAAGGGATGTCGGGATGAATACTGGCGTTTCCCAGCAAGAAGGCGGGGGACTCGCTTGATGGCAGGTTTAGAGCTGGAAAGGCGTGATGCTGATGCCTAAGAATTCAAGACAGGCCCCGGAGAGTCACGATGCTGGTGCCCAAGGGTTAGGACGCCCCCAGGTAGGGTCCTCCTTGGGGAACAACCGAGGGGTCCACCTTCAGGTTTCAGAACCAGAGCGTTGCTGAAGGTCTGATCCAAAGAGCCTGGTGTCAGATCAAACATGGATTCCAGACGAGGTCTTACTTCCCTCCAGGTATGTGTGTGAGGCGACGGCCCTAGACAGTGTTTTCTAACTACTAACTGGCTTCCCAAAAGGGCCTGACAAGTCCTTTCCACATTATGAAATTCTTCCCAAGATACCAACGTGATGGAAATGTCTTGTTGTACACCTATGTATCAAGGTTGAGGAGAGTTTTAAATTTCTTCTAAGCATATGAAAGCAGTTTTGTTTTTTGGTTTGTTTTGTTTTGCTTTGGTGGCTGTTCATTTTCTAGTAATTCAGTTTTAATACACCTATATCAAAATTCATTATTTTAAGTGTAGTTCTATCCATTTTCCAAAATGTACACTTGCACTGCAACAATCAAGATACAGAACGCTTGATCACCACCCAAAAAACTCATGGTGCCCATTTGTAGTCAGCACCCCCACCCTTAACCCCTCATCTGTTCCAGATCTCTATACCTTTGCCTTTTCCCAAAGAATGGCACATAAATGGAACACTACGTTGCCTTTTCAGTCCTATGTGTAAGTTGTGATGTCATATTTGTAAAATTATGTATACTTACTTTACAGAGGTATTCTGAGTTTCAAGTTTTTGAACAATACCCATCATGGTGGTGGCCTATATTATACATTCAAAGTGACAAGATTTCATTATTATTATGAACCATGTGAGATCAGAAAAGACTGTGCTCCGTTGCTCAACTTTTTTCATATGTACGATGATAGAGATGATGTGAGGTGGGTGGGGGTCAAATGAGATACTGATTATCAAATCACACTAATTCCTTATTTTAAGAGGTTTTTGTTTGAGAGAGAGAGAGTGCGCATGTGCACACAAGCAGGGGAGAGGCAGAGGGGGGAGGGAGGGGAAGGGAGAGGGGGAGAGTGAGAGAGAGAGAGAGAATGAATCTTAAGCAGGCTCCATGCTAAGCATGCAGGGCTCCATCCCATGACCCTGGGATCATGACCCAAGCTACAATCAAGAGTTGGATACCCAACCCCCAAATCACATTAGTTTCTGTGGCACTGTGAAAATATAAGTTAACACGGAGAAATGGACAGATTAGACTTTATTTGTTCTTCAATCAAGCAAAATGCTGTCACATTTTTTTCTCTTCCCTAATGTGCTAGAAATATATCCATATAGAACTTACACCTGTGAAAAGTAGAATGGGGCTTTTGGACTTTGTGGATCATTAAAACAAAAACCTTCCACCTTCTATAAAAAGCATTAAAATTTTCCCTGCTTGAGAATATCAAGTATACCTTTTTTACTAAATTGGAGTATTATTCAAAATGGTACCAACTGCAGATCATCTCAGTTTTTCATAGATAACTGTCCCCCTACTCATAACTTACCTTGCTTCTGCCAGAAGGTTACAATCGACTTGCGTTAATTCACTATACTCATAAGACCATGATGGGGTAGAACTGTGCAGATGACCATAATGCTTAATCAAATTAAGTGCAACCTATGGTTTTCTGGGGTACAAATTGTGTGAGTCAGTCTACAGTAGCAGCAAAAATATTTCAAGTATATAATACAACTTACCTTTTTTTCCCCACAAGAGTATTAAACACCCACACCC